TATAATGTTTGTTTGTTTTTCATGATTTTTGAATTATATTATATTTAAGTGTGGGATAGCCATGCTTCGGCACGAAAGGGCCGGCTTGACCGGAGTTATCACTCCGGTCGGCCTTACAGAAAACCGACGTGAAGCATCACTTACGTTGTGTTTCGTCGTATGAGTAAGGTTACCGGAGGCCCTTTCCCCAATCTTCCCATTCCCTGAATCCCCAACGATCCTCAAACTCCTAATCTCCAAAATGCCGGTAACGCACTTGTAACGCCTCTGGTGTTTCAGGTGTCCATGGGCGACGCCGATTGCTTACCATCAGGTGATCAATCAGCTCGTATACCGGTTTATGCCGTTTAAAATTAAACAATTAATTTTGTTTCTAATAGTGAAGAGAACAGTATTGGTTAACTTAAACCTAGGCCAATTTTCATGGTAATACTTGCATAACGTATTCCCAAGTCATCTTCAACAAATATAACCTCCATACAAGGTGCAGTTGGACATAACGTATGAAAAATAGGCAAAAAAAATCCAAGTGAATCCTTATGTCTTGCCTAGTATTTCCCTAGGCGTCGCCGTGGAAGTTTCCGCCAGCGACCAGGTGCTGCGCTCGCAGACGCTACCGTTAACTTGTTACACAACTTCCACTAGAAATTGTTCCCTGTTTTTTTGTTTCTTTACTCCTTACTTTGAGCGGAAAGCAAATTTTCTGAACGACTTTTTTGGACGACGTTTTTCGGAAACGTTTTGGTGGTAGTGACGGGTTAATTTTGTTTGGTTTTAAGTTTATTGTTGTAGTGTTCGGAATGTTTATTAGAGTTTTTTTGCTTGTTTCGTTGAGAAAATAATTTTTCGGTTCGATGAAGTACGTACCTATGTTTTTATAATAACTATTGTAAGACCTATTAAATAAACTAAAAATCGCGGGTTACTCACGTGAAAATATTGAGGAAGGCTCTACTAGTTTCGAACCACAGAGGGGTCCTTCCTTATGAGGTCTCTGCGATGTTAGCTGGTTGCGGGACATCGCCGTGACCTACCTATTATAGTTTTAAATTAGTCAAGTTTTTAGTAATAATGTTAAGCGTTGTGTTTATTTAATGAACTGTCTAGAACACACCTAGCATTGGCTTATAGTGTAACGAATTATTTTGGCTTCTCACTCAGATACACATGTTACATCAGATTCACGGTCTCACGCGTATAACGTTACAAAGAATTGAGATCTTATACAGTAACAAACTTCATAATATTCTAAGATACGTTGACTACAATATGCAAATGGTTATAAAGAGAACGGATCTTGCTTACTTAATGCTCTGACTGCTAAACTTGCATATGCTACGGCTAAAGTTTTGGGCAAACGAAGCTGAAACACTCGGAGATTATAGTGGAGGTAACAATACGCAAACTTTAGATAAACAGACGAAACTTAGATAGAATATTACAATATGAACTGTAATATTAGGAATCTAAAGTTTCTTTTTGTTACGCAAAATGATATAGGTTTATAAACACCTTTATCACCATATTATATTCTAGCTTCTTCCAATGGAAGCCATTGTTCGCGTTCCCGGAGGTAAAAAATAGCCTATGGGTTAATGGGTTTGTGTTACTCAATCAATTCAAAACGGCTGAAGTAATCGGGATAAAATTTGGAACAGGTATAGGTTATGGTCTTAAATAACACTTTTTATCCCACTGGAAATTGAGGAAAGCTGTGGGAAGAGAGCAAGTTACAGAATAAAACAAAATAAAGAGTTTAAAAATATCACTTAAACTGTCAAACACCAAGCGGTCACCGGTGACCGCAACCTATTGTTCTATAATTGTGTCTACAAAACCGGTACTCGACGAGCTAAAATCAAACCGCTTAACGATTTGTTGAAAATCTGAATATTTTTAACATTGCCCGAGGGTTGAATGTTTTACCAACGTTTTTTATCAGACAGTTGAAAAATAGGTATAAATATTTTATTGAACTCATATCTCATGTCAGGTTTGCATGAAATTCATGAATGTTATCCCACTTCGTTTTTGGTTTAAAACTGACATGTGAAGTAATTGAAATTGGTATTTTTAGGCCCTTAAATAAACTAAAATGAATCGAATGGAAAAATCACCACCTTTTCTCTGTATCTATATAGTGCTGAGAGTAAAATATAGGATCTAATAAAAATAATCGTGTACTCGCCCAAAGAGTTCAAGTAATAATCCCAATTCCAATTAGCAAACCCTTCGCAACCCTAAACAGTGTACGCTGTACGCCGCCGATCGCCTATCTAAATTAGTTTTTTGCAAGAAAGCGTAAAACAACTCAAACATTTCTTTCACTTTATCTTGACAAGGCGTTTAATTAAAAAGTTGAAAGCAATCATAACGATATTCCAAGTAGGGCGGGGCCAAGATCGGTCCGCGCCGTCATCAAGTCGTATCGAGTTATGAAAGTCGCCCAAAAATAAAGGCCAAGATAATAAAATTTCGATCAAGTAAAACCCAAAGGATACTTTACGAACGTTTGTTATGGTTAAAATTCACATTAATTTTGTTCAATCTTAGAGGGATTAGGTGGTTGATTCAGAATGAGAGTTTATCCGAGATTGTAGGGTCTCAGATGAGTTTGGATTAATATTGCGCTTGGCTGCGAAGTGTTTTCAAATTTAATTAATTTCTAGGTGCTATCGGGTTTATTTTTTTCGATTTCTGATGGACGTTTCTAGGAATTAACTTGAGTACACGTCGCTTTGGGATTAAGTAGATATTAAGTGCTTCTTCGAATTAAGTTTATCTCTCAAGAATTTGAAGGAGCCGACATTCAAGTGTTTGTTTTGTTAAGTGAGAAACATTCCCTTTAATAATTTTAATAAAACATTTTTGACCTTGACTATGAAATTTTAAAAGCCTTGCTATTGTTGGTTACATTAGAAGAGTATTATATTCAGTGATCTAAGTGATTTTAAGTGTGGGAGAGCCATGCTTCGGCACGAATGGGCCGAAAACAGAAAACTGCCATTAAACAAAGTTTGCTTTGTCTTTCGTCGTGTGAGTGAAGTTACCGGCGACCCAATTACCCCTCCCCACCAATCCTTGAATCCCCAACAATCCTAAAATTCATAAACCCCAAAAAGCCGGTCACGTACTTGTAACGCTTCTGGTGTTCCAGGTATCCATGAGCGACGCCAATTGTTTACCATTAGGTGATCCGTCTACTAGTTTCTCCGCTGATCCTATAAAAAATAATGACTATAAAATTCTTAAACGAATGCGTGAATAAATGTTTAACCTTGTTCATTTTACCTTTTTTATATTAAGTACTTTGATGGACCAAAAAATAATAAACCAATACTGGCGTAGTACAACCTGGTAAAATACGTTCCTCGAAGTTGTTAATATATTTTTTTTCTGTATTTCTGTAGAAGAGTCTAAAGTGAGTTCCAAAAAAGCATTTCTTATGCCTTTTGGCACTGTTACAGGGGCAATAGTTCGAGTGAACTTATTGCAACAGTGAAGCAGGTTTTAACGAGTAAGTTCAGCAGTAGGTTTCTTCAGACTGAGTTATTTGAGAGTACGAACATGTTACATAAGTTCGTGTGGCCTTACTTTTGTAATCTGTTGAGAACTTCGACGTGATTTTGTTTAAAATTGACTTGTGATAATGTATTCCTTTGCCAGATTAGTTTCTCTTTTAGTAGTTAGAAAAGGTCTTTTGAGAAAAGAGAGTTGATGGACAGTGCGTTGCACTTTTTGTTATAGTAGATTTAAATTTAGATATTGCTACATTTAGATATTGAGTTTAATTAATAAGTATCAATAAAAAACGAGTGGTGTAATCGGATTTATCGAAATATTTTTTTATCGTTAATATACGGCGTAGCCATTCAGTCTACGGCTGCTACGACGTAGCGTATAGAACTTGACTGGTGTAAGTGTATGATTGTATGATTTAAATTGATTGTTGCCTTTTGTCTTTTGACTATAACCTTTTGAAGACTTAAAATCCAAACCTTTGCATTATTTTCGTACCGTTACCTTTTCGCTACCTCGGTACTTGTGATACAAAAAATATTCATTCCCAAAGTCAAATTAAAGTATTTATTTCGATTAAACCATAATTTGCTACTTTTGAAACGTCAACAAATACAACATAAATTATATTCTGTCAGCCTATCAGTCAGTCCATTTAAGGGGTCGAATTAAAGACCTCATTGTTCAGCAATTACATTTGCAACTACTGTACCGACAAACGAAACAACCAATAAACTACCTAAAACATAATATCTATTTCTTGGAACAGAACTCAGGCTATCACTATTTCAGTGGAGCGGCATTTTCTTTATAAAAGTTTGTCTGCCGAACCATTTTGAGTGAGTGATTTTTCATGTAGTCTAACGATAGCTCTGATAAGTTCACTGCTCTTACTGACAAACTGAGGACGGAATATTGCTTTGTTTTTAGAAGTAAATGTAATTGTTTTTCAAAGTCCCGTGAGACTGATTGTAGTAGGAGCTATTGGAGCATTTTGATAGATTATGTGTAAAGTAAACGCCTATGTTTTTTGTTTATATATTGATTTTATAGTAGAAAATACAAATGAAGTATATTTTTGATTTATAGATATGCTCATGTTGTTTTAAGACTAAGAAAGGACTTTGGAAATAGAAGGCTTTTTCTATCAAATAAAAACCAAAATGTTTTGTTTAACATTAATTTATTTTTCGGCTCTTTGTAACTTAAATAATTATATACAGTTAATAGACAATATTGATTTCCAAAAATCTTACATTTTAATACATTACACTTGGTTTTTAAAAAATGATATAACTACCTGATATAACATTTAGTCGAACGAAGTTTTTCTGAAACTGGGTACTTAATCAAACAAGAAATTATACTTTTTTTATTACAGGCATATAAAGAAGAGGAACAATAAATTATGTCTCTATTTTTATAAATAAATATTTTCTGTCTCGACATACATAAATAAAAAAATATAAAATTACCACGAAAGTAAATCAATACTAAAATAATCATCAAATAAAAAGCATTTTTAAGTCTTTTTGTTTATCGATTTTTGATCTGCTTTTTACATGGCGATTAGTGAACTAGGTTTATATTACTTAAACTAAGATTCTTATATACAGATATCTATTTTCATTAAAATTTATTGAAAATAGTTGCAACGAAAAATGTATTAATTAAATAATTTTGTATCCCGTCGCAATTTTTATCGAAGTCATATTGTTATGTCTATTTCATTAAGAATCAACTTCGGTAATTAGATTTGTTCGTGTTCATTGTTTCAAACATTATTTGACACAATGGATTTTAAATTAGGTTTTAGTAAAAAATATAGTGTGTCCGTAAAGTGAAACAGTTCTAACATTTCACATACATTTTGTAGCTATTTTTATGATATTACTTTCAGCAACAAAGCTTATCCTTGATAAGACTCACTTGATGTTACGCAGATAACACAGTACTACCTACGCCCATGACACGAGTGACGTCACGATTGCGACATTACTGTCAAAGTTATACAGGTATCAAAATAGATAGCATATCATTGCTGTTCGATTTTAAACCTGCATTTGCCAATAATAAATAGGGCTCAAATTGCAATGACAACATGGATTGGCGTTTGAATAAAAAATTATGCCAGATATTAAAAGTTGTAATAGACTTGAACCCTGAAAAGCAACATTTGATTATAGTTTTTTTGTGTCGCTACTACGATGTATTTTGAACTTAATACTAGCGTTTTGAGTTTGGTTCAATATAACCAAACTCATTTGACTAGATACTCGTGTTAGTTTTACATATAGCGACATATTCACATAATGTATCCCACATTGTCGTAAGGTCCTTGATGTACTGAATCTGTTGTTACGATCGAATCAGACCGAGGGGCAATGAGAGCTTTGTTTGCTGGCTGCCAGGCATCAGTTGGTGTGAACAGTTGTTTGCCTCTCTGTAATAAAAATAAAAACGTTATAATTTCATATTCTTCGAATTACGTGCTTTATTTTTCCTAAGGTGTTTCATTACCGGGAGTATTCGCATGTAATGTAATGTTATATATTCAATTTTTAGAATTATTTTACACTTTACTAACTACAACAACTAACTCCCTGCTGCAATAAAACATATGCATCTTAATACTTGGTTGTCCTCTTCAGGAATTTACCTTTAGGATTACTAGGATGTTATGAATATTAATGAATATTTCGAAAATAAATAAATTCAAATTGTTTCAATAAATAATAAAGTTTTCTAATTTTGCATTGGAAAACTTATTAGATGAATAGGTATTGAAGAAAATACTAACATATCCATGATACAGGGCCCATCCGATTCCTACTGGGAATAAAACGAGTGTTGATAGTCCGACAGCCCAGCCCAGCAAGTCAGCGAACAATGGGAACTTGTAGTCTTCATAGTGCGGAGGTGTCCAGTCATAGAATATGAAGATCAGGATACCCTATAAAGAAAAAGAATGACATTCATTAGTATTTCTCGTTGATTTTCTTCTTTGTCTATTTTACATGACTTTATATTAAGAGGTCAAGAATGAGAGAGGTTAATCAAAATAAATACGAGATTCTTCAGTGTACCTAGTCTTACGACAATGTTTTATAACATTTGAAGAATTGACAGCTTTTGTGATACCACGGCCTCACAGAAAATCGACGTGAAACAAACAACGTTTGCGTTGTGTTTCGTTGTGAGTCCCTGGATTTCCAACAAACCTCAAATTGCTTATCCCTGAAAGGCCGGCAAAGCATTTGTTACACCTCTGGTGTTCCGGGTGTCCATGAACGACGCCGATCACTTATCATCAGGTGATCTGTGTGCTCGTTTACCGGTTTATACCATAAAAAAATTAGTATAAAAATTAGGTACGTCGTTCAATTTGGCAATGTTTTGTTAGTGTTAGAGCGTTCGCTAAGCCATTGGTGATGCACTATTCTTCGGTTAGTTAGATACCATTCCGATAGATAAATAATTAGGATAGGGAAGAACTCAAGCGGATAATACAAGTCATTTCACAAGATAGAAAGTCATATAGGTATACTTAATACGTTCATCAAGTAATTAACAAGGAATTCGTGAACCACGTACCAGTACAAGTTAATCGATTGATAACACAACAGCAACAATTATCTCTAATTAATCTAATTGATTAATTGTCTGCGTGCGTGAGAATTATCTTGTAATACTCTAGTGCGTAATTAAATATTATCTTATGTCACACACATACAAACGTACGTCAACCAATGTGCACCTCTGCTTACCCCTTCGGGGATAATAGGCATGATGTTATGTATGAAAATAAAGATTGATTCAGTATAGAGACAGCAACGTGAGCTTCTGAGCTGACCAATGGCTGCTAGAACTTGTACTTAACTTAGCGTATATAATGAACATAACATCACGCCTTTTATTGCAGGCAGTGGTGCACATTACGGCGCTTAATACCACTGTACAATGGAACACCCACTTTTCACTATTTATGTTATGAGTCTCATGTAATAGGGGGTGAGCCTATTGCCATATACCGGACACAATTTCAGGCTCCATGCTACTACTGAGATTTTTTTTAAAAACCCTGTAGTACTTTGCCCGACCTGACAATCGGACCCAAGACTCCTTGCCCACACACGAACACTCAGCCAACGAGTTAATACACAGAAGTTATAAAACAAAAACAATAATTTTATTGTAATAAAGATAATTAAACTGTATCTAGTGATGCTGATCAATAGTATGATAGTATGTTGATAGTATCGCTAGTAGTACCAGGCGGGATAGTGGCCAAACGTCGACCTATTAAGTATAATAAGAAAAAAAGAAAAAATGTAGTTTATACCTAACTTAGCATAAGTAATAATTAAATAATATGTTACTTGGTCAGATCCTAATCATGAAAACTAATCTTAAACAGTTGCAAGAAAAAGTCCACTTAAACGAATAAGGAACTTTCCACTATTAATGAATTATTATCTAATCATGTTTATCGTAATTTCAATCAGTTTTAACAACTTACGCGCGAGGAGAGATACGATCTTAATTATTGTTACTACATTGTTGGTATCTAAGAAAATGATAATGAATAATAACTATATTCTTAGTATTTAACTCCCTGTTGCTTACGACTTTATCTACGTAGAATATGAATTTTAGAACATTTTAATTTTCCAAAATAAAAGTAGCTTTTTTTAAGTCATCGAATGACTGCTCTCGCCTGGGTGAGGCGGGAGGGAATGTCAGACTCTTACGACGACGACGTCGAGTCGGAGCCCCGGTAACCCGTTAGGTCCTATGTTACTCTTTAGTACATTAGCTACCTGTCACTAAAAGTCTTGCAAAATCAGTCCAGCCATTTCAAAGATTAGCCAGGACACACAGGCAGACCAATATTGTAAGAAGTTATATATACACTTTATTTTAATATTACAAACATACACTCCAATTTTATCTATCTGTATATATGTATTTAATTGATTGATAATGCTTGTCTAAATGATTAAATTGCTACATGCATCGATGCAAGTGATGATATTGCAATTGATGAAGATTATCCTTATGCATCATCCTCTTATAATTTTTAGAAATACAAGGCTTTTATATTTTGTGAAATATTTCACTACCTATCTTCGAATTCCCCTCTTGTGCTATGGACTTAGCATAGTAGTAGTAAGTACTTATATCACTCTTTTATGAGTAATTTTGAACTTTATTTCTTTGTCTCTTAGGGTTCATCACAACCAAAAAAAGGAAAAGTATTTAAAACTGTCTTTGCCGTTCAATCTTCACTTGTCTTGCTAATAAAGTTGAAAATCATTTGAACAAAGATGTATAATTGAAATTTAATGCATTGACGGCAGATGCTAGAAAAGATTTTTATAAAAATTGTAATCATGTATACTTACAAGACTGACTACAGGGCCGATGACTGTCCATACAGCTCTCCAGTAGAAACGGAGCACCTTGTTTAGCGGCATGCCCATAGACTTAAGGTCCTTCATAGCCCGATTAATACCATAGCTCCAAGATACAGCAACACACTGAAAAAAAAGTGAAATAGTTTTAGAGTGGTGTGATTTAATACAAAAGAGTTTTTTTGCCTTGTTGACTGCGAAATATAAATTGTAAACTGATATGTTAAAATGTGATGTGTCAACAATCGTTGGCTAACCTAAAATAAATACATAAAAAAATAATCTTACCTCAGCCATACCAATCAAGAGAATAGCCCAAGAGGCAGTGTTCCAATCAAGAAGTGTAAACAAGTACACTCCACCGCTAAAACACATCGGTATTCCCAATATAAAACATGTTAGACATGTGAACGCAGTCACCTGGAATAGAGGAAGATTGGTTATTGTGGATACTATTTTATTTTACATACTTTTTATCCTGATCATCTTATTTTCTTAATCAATGGTTTGTTGCAACATAAACTGAGCACAGGGCTTCAATACTCAAGTCGGACAATGACCTTTCTTTTTAAATAATTCGATTTCAATATTCTCTACGTTATGGCAGCGATAGTAAGATCATATAAACACAATGCCGAAATCTGTGTTTCACGACACTAATAACTTGGGTATCTTCAAGTCCCGAGTGAACAGGCTGTTCATAGGTAGGCGTGCTCCATCGTCAGCCACATTACTGCTTACCACCAGGCGAGACGGTAGCCAAACGCCAACCTATCTACTATTATATATAAAAATATATAAACACGACGGTTTATTTTTTTTTTAAATATGGCCTCAATGTGTTAGGATTTTCTCCAATGTCGTAGGGAAGTGCAACTATAAAAAACTTTTGCGTAAAATATCAATTATTGTTGTGTTCAAACATCTCATAAACATTGGAAGTGAAGTTAACTATTATTAATACATAAAAATAATATTAATAAAAAGAGATGACAAAGATACTCACCCTCCAGTAATTCTTCCTCAAATGTGGCCATCTATCGACAATAGCCGTGTTGATGGCTTCAATGCCAGCGAACTGACTTCCAAGACCAAGGATGAACAACATCAAGAAGAACAGGATAGACCACAACCTGGAGACAGGCATCTGAAGTAACGCTTCGGGGTATGCTACAAATGCTAAGCCAGGACCTTCCGTCGCCACATCTGAAAGTAAAAGGGTTTGGTGAGAAATTGTTTTCTGATGGTTGTTGTTCATAGGAACGTTTTGCTTAGAGTATTTCAATAATCTGATATGGACACATATCAACTTTTTAGTACCAGTAACTTTCTCGTGCATTGCTTGTAAGTTATAGGTAGTGACTGCCGAGTGGTCGCAAGTGCGACTACCGGGCAAGGGGTCTCGGGTTTGATTCCTAGGTCGAGCAAAGTACCTATTACTGAGTTTTTAAAAAATTCTCAGTAGTAGCACGGAGTCTGGAATTGTACCCGGTATATAGCAATAGACTCACCCCCTATTACATGGGACTCATAACATAAATACTCAAAAGTGGGTGTTACATTGCGCAACCCCTTCGGGGATAATAGGCGTGATGTTTTGTTTATTTATTGTAAATTGTAGTAGATTGACTAAATATTTAGTTTTTCGCAGACCTAGTGTGATTTTACTTAAACCATTTGCTTTGACATTTTAGTCTATCAGAATCAGTAGTCTTTAGTACCTAGATCCTCGATCACGCAAATCCTAATCAATATAATAACTAATCCATCACGGCACCTCTTCCTATCCTCCTCATAGTTATTAATATCACACAAAACAATATTAATACATGCCCATATGAAAGCACTAATATTGCACGTGAAGTCCTAGTCAATATAACGTGTTTATCATGTGATAATCTTTGGTACATCATTGTTATGGTACTATGTACAACAATAACACCTTTATCGATAGACCAAAAAGCAATTAATAGATACACGAGTGATTTATAATAATACCATTTGGGGTTTGCACAAGGTCGAATATCCTTTGTTATGTATGGAAGGAGGCCCTCGTTTGTTTTGACATAAAATTTTTGGGATTTTTGGCAGAATAAACAAAGGTTTGCTCGAAGTCATAAAAATCGAGAGTAACCGAAATAGAACTATATTGTATTGTCAATATTGTTCATATTTGAATATGGGTTGGCAAACAAAGCTCGCGCGTAGGTTACTAAAAATTCCACCAACATTATAACAATGGAGACGAGTCAAATTTTATATTTTGTCGCATTGATGGAGACTGTGGAAGTCTATTTGACAATACAGCTCTGTCATCGTGAGTCTTATAGCACAAGACGTCTCAACTCTATATCAATATCTCGGATCCCTTAAAGGCGTATGCAAACTCTTTGTTCAAAATTCCCAATACAAAAGCACCGAGTTGTACAAAGAACCGATGCTCGGGTAACCAAAAACGCTAACACACTAGAGTGCGGCCGAATGAAATATTTACTGTTTAATCAATCCATTATCTTGAAACAGAATACAAACAAGGCTTGCATTCGTAACAGTGGAATCAACATGGGATCGAGTGTTCGCATTGGATTGAAGGGGCTTGCACACCAGGTACTGGCTAGAGTTTGATTAAAATTCTTTTTTTTTCATAGTCGTGGTTTATTTTTAGTTTGGCTGAAAAAACCTTTTAGTAAAATTTGGAAATACGGATGAGATGTTTCTAAACTTGGTTATCGACAGTTTCCAAAAATAATGTATACGAACGCTAATGATTAGTTAGGTTGGTTTCAGTTTTATAAGACTGATTTTAGTAATGTAACGTGTATTGTTTTGAAATCTGTTCATTACAGATGTGCGACGAATCTAAGGTGATTCGGCAGATTAGACTAGATGGCGTAAACGTAGATTTGATATTTTTGTCCAATGACAGTAGTTGTCAAATATTGAACGTCCAATGGTGTAACTCTAGCTAATTCCCTATTGGTTGAAGAAAGAAAGGTTCACACTAGCGCCATCTATTGAGAAAAAATACGATAGGCTCCATTTAGAAAAAAAAGCGTGACAAACAGATTTTCAAACAGATTCTTTTTGTAATTGCTCTTACTTTCAAAAAGTGAAGTAGGTTATTCCCTTGGTTCTGACTGATTCTCAGGTATCCAATATATCTGAATGAAATATGAACCAATTCTTTTCATTTGTTATTTATTGCATAAAATACACAATTATGTAGGTATTTTGTAATGCATTTATACTAAAGTCAGTTGTTCTTTTGTTCTGTTGTCTTTTGTATAGGTTTTTACGTTACAAAATTAGTTTTATATTTATTAAGCATAGATTTGTACATATATTTCTATCTACAATTATTCTGAAATAATTACACGTTTGAACCTACACCACATCGATATAAGTGTCAAAATCAATCGCACAAACTAGCAAAGGCCCCCAGAACAATACGGAATTCGTCATATTGGCTTTCATATTACCTATTTCAATATTTGACGTGCAAAACAACGGGGAATTAATTTAATAGCATTGCATGGCACGGCTGAATATTTAAGTGGGTTCATAGTGTGTATTGTATGCTCTCCACTGATGTTTGCCAGCCCGCGGCAATGCAACGCCAGGATTAATCAACTTGAGTTAATCGCGAACATGGAGGCACTGGATTTTTTGTTTGCACTGTTTTTATGTTGATTTTGGCGAAAGAGTCTTGGTAGTGATAGATATGAAATAAAACACCATAATATTATGCTTTTGATGCAGGTCACTACCAACGGCAAATATTATATATATATTATATAGTAAGGATTGTTGTGTAAGTATATACATACCAATCATTTAGTTAGTTCTGGGAACATTTATATTGTTTTCTATGTACGGATTATTTTGAAATATATGTACATAACCCTGTGAATTTGGTTAGTGAAGTTAGTTAATTTGTTTTTCAGCAATACCATGAATTAATGAAATAATTCTGATGGAATTTGACATTATTACGTTTAGATTGATAATGATGAATCCCGATTAAATAGTTTTGGTATGTCATCACGCGGTATAATAAAATTCTTCATATAATTAACTCGTCGAGTTCCGTCATTATAGACACAATTATAGAACAATAGGTTGCGGTCACCGGTGACCGCTTGGTGTTTGACAGTTTAATACAATAAAATTAAAAAATTCTTGAATGTTTTCAGCAATACTAATTTGAATCTAAATTCAAGTCCAACTCAATTTAAACTATCACTGTTAAGAGAGAGATCCCGGGTCGGGCAAAGTATTAGTGGTTTTTTTTAATTCTCAGTAGTAGCACGGAGTATGGAATGGAATAGGCTCACCCCCTATTACATGGGACTCGTAACATAAATAGTAGAAGTGGGTGTTACATTGTACAGTGGCATAATGTACAGCTACCGGCAGAGGTGCACATTATCCCCGTAAGGATACCTACGGGAATAAAAGACATGATGTTATGTTATGTTAATGTTAAGAGACACATTGAAATGAATACAGAATTTAAATTTCACATGCAGTACACAAATGAGTACAAGGATTAAAGAACAAAGATAGAAAACTTACCACTGACACTAACACCCATGAGCTGAGCTTGGAAACCCAGCACAGAGAAGATGGCGAACCCAGCGTACACAGATGTCAAGAAGTTCGTAAAACTGACGAACACTGCATCGAAATGACAGTTATTGTTGAATTTGTTATACGAAGCCAAAGTGACGAGAGACCCACATGCCACACCGAAGGAGTAGAAGATCTAGGAGAAGAAGAAAAGGTAATTATGCATCACCATCAACCATATAAGATATCAACTTCTGAACATAGGCCTCCCCCAATGACCTTCAGATTTTGGATTGGAAGCGACCTGCATCCAGTAGCTCCTCGTGACGTAGGCATTTCGTAATTTGCCTACACAGGGTAGAAAGCAAATCTAATACCTATGCCTAAAAACTGGCCATTTATAATACGATTCATCCATACTACATATGTATGTGTTTTAAAAGAATTTAAATCGTTGAGTACCGTCATTATAGACACAATTGACTCGTCGAGTACCGTCATTATAGACACAATTATAGAACAATTTTTTTTTTTTTTTTTTTTAAGGGGGGAAAATCATCGAATGACTGCCCCCGCCTGGGTGAGGCGGGAGGGCGTGTCAGACTCTTACTGACTAAAAACCACCCCGTTCCTTCTCCTGCACGTCGAGCCGGAGCCCCGGTTACCCGTTAGGTTCTCCGCGACTAATTATAGAACAATAGGTTGCGGTCACCGGTGACCGCTTGGTGTTTGACAGTTTAAAGAACAATTGTTTTTCCTAACCTGGAATTAAGGTGGCGATTTTTTCTAATCTAAAGTTATATTTATCTGAACTGTACCTACTCAATTTGAAGTAATGAGATAGAAAGTTAAACGTATAAAATACGTATTTATTAAACTTAATGCACAAATCTTTTATGTAAATGTAAAATGAACACTAAAATATGAGCAAAATAAATTATTTTGATGCGAAATTTGTTTAACTTTCCAAATAAATTCTAATGTTGTTTTTATATCTCTTGGGTGTTAAACTGAGAACGTATGTAATATTCAAACAAATTTTAAAACTAATCATGTTTACCTTTTCTTGAATCCAGTAAATAAATAAATGCTAATGGATTTATATTAAAATACGTATGTTAACTAAGAATCTCGGTTTACTCACGGGAATATACTGAAATAGCTCTACTAATTTCGAGTCACAACGGGGCTCTTCCTTATGAGCAGCGTGCGCGGTCACGGCGATGTCGCGCAGCCTACTCACGTGAGCAACCCGAGATTTTCAGATGTCTAGATGTCTCACGATAGTTGTTATAAAAATATGTTTTAAACAATTACTTTTGGAATATATTTAAATATATATATAAGGTGTGTTTGTAAATCTTATAAGTATAATATCAGTTTCAATGATGCCTAGTACGATACACAATAATAACAAACAACAAAGCTTTAAAAATAAACTAAAAACTTTTTAATTAACATCTGTCTGTGGCTTGCAAAAAAGGTTTTTCGAGAACTTTTCCAGATAATTAGCCGCCATATTTATTTATTCACAAAATAATGGCTGCCGTTACAGACAATAATGTTTCCGATGAACCGATGCCTTGGAAGGATTGATGATTTTCCTTCAAAAACTCTTAAAAATTTAATAGGTTTACAAATAGCTTTTATTTAGCAATGTCTTTTAACTAATTGCAGTTAAAGAAGTTTTTCATTTAACCTCTTTTTTGTACAAAATTCTTGCGGTAACTGAATTATGTGAGTTTTTTTGCTATTTAACTCTTTCGATTAGCTAAAAGGTTTTTAAAAGTTTAAAGCGTTTTTGCTAAATTAGTTTGTTTAAAGGTTGTAAACATCATTAATTTGAAAAGGTTTTCGTAGATTTAAATTAAAGTGAAAACTATAATAAATATCGATGACATAAACTATTAATCAGGTCACATTGACGAAATTAAAACTAATGTTTTTTGAAATACAATACGCAATAGCATGGAGTCTAGAATAATACCAATTGTTTGACTGTCAATAATAGGGTAGATGCCTAATTTTTATTTTAATGTCCATCTGGCAGATTATTTTAAATCATTAGACACGTATTTTTTATTTTCTTACAGAAACGAATACTTTCAACGATATATTGATTTGAAATGTCCTGTGACGTCACTTCTATGCACATTTTATACGTAGAAATGACGTTTTAGCCCCCACTCCTAAACTTTGATTCGTTTTATCTAAGTATTATTTTATTATATAACAAAATAAAAAAATACGTATCTAATATTTTTTCATTACATAACTTACGGACTAATTAGATTTTTAATTTTTAAACCCTGTCATCAGCCCAATTCTTTTATAAACTACTCTCTTTTCTGAAGTCGGTTAATTATATAACATAACATAACATCACGCCTTTTATCCCCGAAGGGGTAGACAGAGGTATACCTACATTACGGCACTTAAGGCCACTGTACAATGTAACACCTTTTCACTATTTTATGTTATAAGTCCCATGTAATGTAATGGTATATGGCAATAGGTTCACCCCCTAGTGAACCTTTTGCCATATACCGGGCACAATTTCAGACTCCATGTTACTACTGAGATTTTTTTGAAAACCCAGTAATACTTTGCCCGACCCGGGAATCGAACCTCGAAATCGAACCTCAAAACCCGGAAATCGAA